AGCCTGCTAGGACCATTATTAAAGAAAATAGAAAAATAGCCCATTTCATGGACTAAAAAATTGCCGTCCATCTAGCGGTGAAAGTTGGAACTACAAAAATAGAAAATCCCGATTTTCTCGAAACCTAGGAACTTTTCCAAAATTCTGAGATATACAAATTGTTCCTTGTGACCTAAGGAATCGAACGAATCTAACTACAGCCTGCTAGGACCATTATTAAAGAAAATAGAAAAATAGCCCATTTCATGGACTAAAAAATTGCCGTCCATCTAGCGGTGAAAGTTGGAACTACAAAAATAGAAAATCTCGATTTTCTCGAAACCTAGGGACTTTTCCGAAATTCTGAGATATACAAATTGCTCCTTGTAGCCTCAGGAATCGAACGAATATAATTATAGCCTGCTAGGACCATTATTAAAGAAAATAGAAAAATAGCCCATTTCATGGACTAAAAAATTGCCGTCCATCTAGCGGTGAAAGTTGGAACTACAAAAATATAAAAATGCGATTTTCTCGAGAATTAGCCAACTTTGAGTACTTCTGAGGCTCAGAAAGTGTTATGTGATCGCATTAGAAGCAAAATAATGCAATAAAAATTTCCTGAAAGCTTGAATAAAGAAAATAAAAAAAATGTCATTTTATGGAGAAAATTTGTGGCGCCATCTAGCGGCGAAACTGCGAACTAAACTGAAAAAACGTAGGTCCGAATACGCAGTAAAGGGGTCAAATAAAAATTGATATTCTGGGCTTAATAGGCAAAATAAGGAATAACTTATTTAACAAAAATTGCTTTAAAATATCTAAAGAAGCACACTCTGTCGTCAAAGTTGCGAAATATTACATTTTATATTTTTCCTTAACGCGTGTTCGGACATACGTTTTTTCAGTTTACTTCGCAGTTTTGCCGCTAGATGGCGCCACAAATTTTCTCCATAAAATGACATTTTTTTTATTTTCTTTATTAATGCTTTCCGGAAATTTTTATTGCATTATTTTGCTTCTAATGCGATCACATAACACTTTCTGAGCCTCAGAAGTATTCAAAGTTCGCTAATATTTGAGAAAATCGCATTTTTATATTTTTGTAGTTCCAACTTTCACCGCTAGATGGACGGCAATTTTTTAGTCCATGAAATGGGCTATTTTTCTATTTTCTTTAATAATGGTCCTAGCAGGCTATAATTAGATTCGTTCGATTCCTTAGGCCACAAGGAACAATTTGTATATCTCAGAATTTCGGAAAAGTCCCTAGTTTTCGAGAAAATCGAAATTTTCGTGTTTCGTAGTTCCGCCGCTCGCCGCTAGATGGCGCCACCTGTACCGTTTTCGACCGATTTCGACAAAAATTGATTTTCTGACTTTATTACGCATCAAAATGCATCAAACCCTAATAGAAATTTGTTTCTAAATGCCTCAGGAACCATACTACGTCGCCAAAGTGCCGAAATAATAATTTTTTTATTTTCCTTATATGCGTGTTCCGACCCCCCTTTTTTAGGATCAGTGTTTTCGGTAATTATTCCTCCGTGGCAGTCCGATTAAAAATTTCTTTTTCTATGTCCATCTGGATGTACATACACATGTGCGTGCAAAATTTGATGAGAATTGGTTGAGTGGTGCAAAAGAAAAACGCGAACAAAGAAGTTGCATAGTCAATTATAAGAGCTTCGCTTGCCTTCGGCTCGATCGCTCAATGATTACCGTAGTACATATTCTTCGAACAAATTTTGTAGAGCAGTCACTTTAGTATATTCTTTTCTTTCTCAATTTTCCACACCGTAAAATTAATAAAAATGCCTCTAAAGACAATATTAATAATGTACAGAAAATTTATTACAAATATATTCCAAATTATTAGAGACTTACATGAAAATTTTGCTGGATGTAATTTCCCTCTCGTTTGTATAACCAATTAAAAGGGATAGCGTTTCCGAGAGATCAAAGTATCGCCTCTGCTTTACTCCATGGTTTCCGTCTTATTTGCTGTCATCAGCAAAGTTGCATTTTATTATAAGATTTGTGAATCTTCTAGATTTGTGTAAGTATGGATCTTGTAACATATGTTTACTTGATCCAAACAACTTCGTGAAAGAAAATGTAGAACAAAATTTTAATTTAATTATAAGTATTATTTAATTCGTAGCTCTTAGCTCGGGATAGTTTTCTAAAGACTTTGAAAAATCTTTCGAAAACTACACCGATTACCAGGTCACACCACGTGGAGGTGGCTACGATAGTGACCCACCCTAACTCCAAATCCCTTCCTCCCTCCAAATGCAACCTCATTTATCAGAAGGATAAATGAGTTCTGACTCTACATAGCTCATAGGCTCGCATATACAAGTTCTTTACCACAATCCAGTAAAGAACTTGTATCACACACACACACGTACATTAACTTAATACTAATCGCATGGGATCCAACACACGCACGCTTAACTTATTCTAAACGCCGCACGGTACCTCTCATTCCAAGATAGCACTCAAATAATCTATGACGAATTCAAAACGCAAAGCAAAGAAAGTTAGAAGAACTTTCTACTAAAAGAAAAGAAAGTTAGAAGAACTTTCTGTAAAAAAGGGAGGACTGTATTTTTCGCCAAGCGAACCTCGCTTTCCATGGGTCAAAGGGTAGCCCATAGTGGCTTACGTGAACCACGACGGCAAAGATGAACCGAAGATACCTTTGGCAAGAACGAGTGATACACCCCAGTTGGCGGAGGGTTCCCATTTCCCCCAGCGCTCTCGCGTCTTACCACAGAGAGGATACCCAGACCGTGATGCCCCTTGGCAGAATGGCGGCGGGTCGGGGAGGCACATCAGAGTATGAGAGGTGCCAACCCCGATCGGCCCCGCCGGGCAAAGAATATCACTCGCCCTACACCGGCACTTGCAGCTCACCTCTACCGCGTGTTCACAGCGCTATGAACCCCCCATGATCCACTTGGGCTCAGAACGATTGACAAAAAATAACGGGGTAAACTACAAGCTAACGAAAGTTAGAAGAACTTTCCACTAAAAAGCAAAGAAAGTTAGAAGAACCTTCTGTCAAAAAGGGAGGACTGTATTTTTCGCCAAATGAACCTCGCCTTCCATGGGTCAAAGGGTAGTGCATAGTGTCTTACGTGAACCACGAGACAGAGATGAACCGAAAATACTGGCAAGAACGAGTGACACATCCGCGGAAAGTTTCCCATTTCTCCCCGCTTACGTTTTAGGTAAGTCTTACTGCAGAGAGGAAACCCTGGAACCCCTGCCGTGAGGCACCCGATCGAGACGGAACATCAATCGATCGGCCCCGCAGAGATGTGTCCCTGGCGCTACACCAGCACTTGCGGCTCACCTCTGTCTCGTGTTCACAGCGCTATGAACCCCCAATGATCCACTTTGGTTCGGAACGATTGACAAAAAATAACGGGGTATGCTACAAACTAACGCGTACAAAGATGGAGAAGGTACAAACATTGAGAATTGAGAAGATGAGTGCAAGTTGGAAGTAGAGGTACTTACAAGGACCCACCCACCCTGCCCACGAGCACACTTAACTTAAAAGTAACGCACGGATAAAATTAGCTTAAAACTAACGCACACATAAAAATAACTTAAAACTAACGCACGCATCCCACGATGATCCCACGATGATCCCACGATGATCCCACGATGATCGATGTCTTCAATCTACGTGTACCTGAAAAATGAGGAACAAATGAGGAAAAATTAAAGAACATTAAAAAGCAAAATAAAAATTCGACCATGTCTGAAAATAAAAGCCGGAAATAAAAGTTGAGCCTGAAAATAAAAACATTTACACATTTAAAAAACGTAATTGCAACTGCAATTCCATTTCAATCACACAAATTAAAATTTCTAAAGACTCTACATGTGCCTTTTGTTCTATACTTGCACTCGCATAAGGTAAAATTAAATGAATGAAAAATGAAGCAAATAAAAAGAAAGTTTGAAGAACTTTCTTTTCTGTTTCAATCGATTTACAAGAATAAACTAATTCTTTAAAAATAAAAATCTATGATATATAAAAATAATGAAAAATTTTTAATATGTAGAAAGTGGAAAAATTGTGAAAATGAGTGCAAGGTAGAACAAGAGGCACTAAAAAATGCGTAAGCTTTTCGCCACAGATTGTGACGAAAAACTTACGCCCGAGCCCACCCTTCCTCCCACAAGCTCGGAATCAACATGAAACTAATACACTCAATATTTTAACTTATCAAAAAATAAATTCTGAAACAGACAAAAGTTATTAAGACAAATATAAATTATTTCATTATTTACATAAAATAAAAATCTGGAACAGACAAAATTTTATTAACACAGAAAATTGTGGGAGGAGGAGCAAAGTATTTCTTTATTTCATACAAGAGAATCGAAAAATA